AATCTCCCTAAATAAGAGCAGGTCCTTTTCAATCACAAGATTGTTGGGCTGGTCGACTTTCCTGAAGGTTAGGGGTTTCCCGCTCTGTTGTTCGCTTTTTGCATTGTCTCTTGCATTTATGTTTTCATTCCGAGGAAGACAATGCCTGTGACATAGGTTGCAGCACTCTCTAGGGGGGTTTTGTGTTTGAGCCAGTTTCTCCATGTTTTTTGGGGTGTTAAAAGTGCTGGCGTGCTGAAATATACAACATGCGATTTCAACGGCATTGCGGAACATCCCCGTAACTTTGTGCCAGGGTGACAGGTTCAAGAACTACCAATCAGAAGTGAGCTAGTGTGCATATGGGCGGAGCGTGGGGAGACCACCATTACGTGTACTGCTGTACCAAACACACCCACACAAACCTTCATGAGTATAGGGCAGGGCTATTCATCTGACAGCCTGCAGTCAAATCTTGCCTAAAAAGGCCCAGCAAGACAACCACTGACCAACACTAGTTGTATTCTTTCGCTAATGATATTCCTCCTTTTTCCAAATGTTGGCGGGACTGAGCCTCGAGAGGCAGGGGGTAAGAAGTGTTGGTGTTGTGGGTAGTGGGTTCCCCCCCTTACTTCACCCTAGGTCTAGTGAATATCTGTTCACGAAAGGAGCGTCCATTGTGGTGTCAGCCTCTTGACCTAGCAAAACCTCTCTTACCTCAAGACCATTGTGCGTGGCGAAGAGTCACAGCCTCCCCGAGGTAGTCCCGGTAACTGGGGGTGCGAATCCCCAGGCAAAACACAATGGATCTAGAGGAGCAAACCTCGATAATAAACCCGGTGCACCACACCGTACTGCCCCCTGTGGGAGGGAAGGAACCAGAGGTGTGCTGTACAGTCTTAGGAATGGAAACAAGTATGCTAACCCCCCTGAATACCGGAAACTATCGTGAAGGCACAGGGACTCAGGACGTGACGATCCAGTTGCCCCAACTACTCATGCTTAGGCCTTGCTTAGAGACATGAAGAGCTCAGCGAAACCTGCAGGCAATCTGGTGGCGGGGAATGAGAACACTGTGAGCCCCACCTTAGCTACGTGTTAAAGGGAAAGGCAGAAACACAACCCATATTTCCTTTAGAACTGGTACAGGGCATTTCTAGCTGCTGCCCGGGGAGGTAGGTAATCCACAGACACCCCAGCTTGAGCCAAAGGGCGAAAGCTCATGCGCGGCTGGATCGATAACAACAACAACAACAACCAAATGTTGGCCTGTGAGTACAGGGATTTATTCGCTGTACTTAAGCACACATGGTCATGTGAACATCTCCCTACATGAAACCAGAATAACCATGGTAGGAATAAATCCATAGCAGAAACCGACTCCTGTCGCTGTTATGATCAAGGCAATCTGTTCCTTTGATGTCTGCTAGCATGTGATCAAAGAATAAGCCTTGTGTGCCATTATCTGATGTATGAGATACCCTGTGCAACCTCCAGAGAAGTTATAATTAAAGCCATTATAACGACCACACAAATTAGGTGTAACCTACAGTCCTACGAAATGGGATGTCATATGACACTCAGAAAAAAAGTTTTACTGAAGCAGTTTAATTTCATCATTTTACCATTTTTTTTTTTTTGCCTTCAGAAGGTGAGTTAACTAAAACAGCTTTTATTATATAACTGCAGAATCTTGAAATGCCAAATCATATATATATATCCTGGGTGCCCAATTCTCAATATTCTGAAAAAGTTTGTTTGTTCTCTCTCTACCCCCTCACTTCATAAACGCACACACAATTTACAAAATGAAATGAACAAAACAACAGAAAAGAAAAGAAAATTATCATTAGAATTTATATAAATGTACTATTTTTTTGGGGGGGAACATTCCACCATTGTATTATATCCTACTCATATGATGTCACACAATATTCACCGCAAGAGACTGGCAGATGGACACAAAAAGATACCTGACACCAAAAGGTTACCACAGCAGCTGTTTTGCGCAGCAAGATCTGTTCATGTCAACCACAGAAAATAAATCACCATGTTGTGTGCCAGGTTGCACTGGCAACAGCACCTCTCCCAAAGTGAGCTTTTCTCATGTCACACAATTTATTCATCTACACCTTTCTCACAACATGACCTATGGTCCGAGTCCAAGTCCATGTACAAACAAATCATAAACTCGACCACTTTAGTCTTTTATGCAAGCTTTCCCAGAAACTCACCACCTGACCTCTTAGTCAATCAAGACGTTTCTGTTATCACTTCTAAAACAAATCCCTCCTGGCAATTTGCTTATTGGCTGGGAATGATTCACATTCACAGCAGAAGTGTAGCTTCAACTGCCTTCAAGTGTTGGTGTTCACACTCATATAGTCAACAGCAAACATATTAAGACAGAGATGGTAGATAAACTGAACCACTCTAGGCATCAATAACAAAAACAGACGTATGGCAGGTGGTACACCCCCAAAACAAAAACATTATTTACATGTGCACATAATCATAAAGCAATAGACACTGAGCTAGGTAGCAGCTCAACAGATTACTAATTTTCGACTAATTTTTAAAAAATGTATTCAGGTCTGAGTCAGATATAACTGAGCTACAGTGTAACAGCAGAGTAGTTGGTACAACCTGCTCTCTGGTAATGCCAAATGTTGGGCGGTGTATGCTGAACCTAACATCCCAGTTTGTGCCAATGGATTTGGGTGGAGGGGCCCCCATGGAGAATACTGGCCTTATCCTGGGAAAAGGAAATGCATCCTGAAAACGTCATGTTTCAGCAGCGCATACCAGGCCCTTAGCTTTTGCTGGCAGCTGGTCTAGGTCCAACACACAGACAGAGTACTGTTTTTCTGATCCTGCAGCGTGCTTTATTCCAAACATAGTGTTGCTACCTTTCCTTTATAGTAAACAAGGCAGGCAGAGTAGGGGAGGGGAGATCATGCTGCTTGGGCAACACATGGAGCCTACCAGGACTTCCGGTCAAAATGGACGTTAGGCAGCGGCACTGTTCGAAACAGAGGCAAATTTTTTGCTTCTGCCAGACGGTGGCCGATGCATTTTTGCTCCATTTGTAGACTAAATAAAGTTTTGTCGCGAAGCTTCTGAGTTGAATGCATGGCGTTACCCTGTGAGCTGCGGATTGCATTTGGAATGCTTTTTTGACTGTGACCAACGTGTTGGTGTGAATTGTAGATTCAGAAAATGGCGCGATGCCTGTCGTGCAGTGTCGTGGTGCCCGTATGTGATTAAAATTGATCGCGTGGGCAACTGCTGATCTGTTAGCGACTTCTGCTACCATCAATGATGAACTGCAATTTTAATACTGTGATAAACATTCTGTGTGTTTTTCGTTGGCACATGAGCGGAGCAAAGATGGGGCGACCCGTTTGCTTTGAAGCTGAAACTAAGACTACCAGACTACAATACTGCCCAGACTTTGTGCTATGAAGAGGAGGAATTTCACCAATGACCTTAATTGGTCTCTTCTGGATGCTGTCAACCCATTCTAGTCAGAGTCTGCCGCGTTGGATCTTCTTCAGCATGCTCATTGGGAAACATGCCAGTTTGGATCTTCTTCAGCATGCTCATTGGGAAACATGCCAGTTTGGATCTTCTTCAGCATGCTCATTGGAAAACATGCCAGTTTGGATCTTCTTCAGCATGCTCATTGGGAAACATGCCAGTTTGGATCTTCTTCAGCATGCTCATTGGTAAACATGCCAGTTTGGATCTTCTTTAGCATGCTCATTGGGAAACATGCCAGTTTGGATCTTCTTCAGCATGCTCATTGGGAAACATGCCAGTTTGGATCTTCTTCAGCATGCTCATTGGGAAACATGCCAGTTTGGATCTTCCTCAGCATGCTCATTGGGAAACATGCCAGTTTGGATCTTCCTCAGCATGCTCATTGGGAAACATATCTGATGTGTCAGCATTAAGTAATTAAGCGTGATTTAAAAAACAAAATTGCAAATGTGATGCTTTACTCCCTCTGTGTGGATTCTGGAGCCCCCCTGGGAGGAGGGGGTGGGGGTGGGGGGGGTGAATAGACCCAAAGCCCCCAACAAGCATGTCTTAAAAGTAAAACAGATGCGCATGGAACAAGACTAAAGATCAGAAATGGACAAACAACCAGAACGTGTTGCCGGAGTCTTCAGCCGGTGAATGTGATAACAAAGATGATGGTGCTTTGTGAGTAAGGAATAGAAATAACACAGCTAAGAAATACTATGTCTAGAAGAACAACACCACAACTGAGCTCACTGATGTATGCAGGAAAGGGACAACATGTAGAGACAGACGTTTGACCTGTACACATAGGAAATTATGTAGCCATTTTTAGCAGGACACGAATAGTGAAACAATGAATATATAAACACATCTTCACAGTGGTTTATGAGCAGACAATATGCAATGTCAGGTAAGTTGGCTATTGCTAGCTTTCACCTCAAAAATACATTTTACTGTCTCCCACACTCTTACACAAGAGCAATGACTAAAAAATACATTTACTGTCTCCCACACTCTTACACAAGAAAAATTTGTTTTACCGTCTCACACACTTTTACATAATAAAAATAGATTTTACTGTCTCACACACTCTTACACAACAAAAATGAGTTTTACTGTCACACACACTCTTACACAACAAAAATAGTTTTACTGTCTCACACACTCTTACATAACAAAAATAAGTTTTACTGTCTCACACACTCTTACACAACAACTGTCTACCCACTATTGTTCAATACTTACTGCCTGAGACTTGAACAGGAGAATCGATAGCTGGCGTTGCTTCTACACTTTTCTTAATCTCTCTTGCTAACAGCAATAACACATGCATCAAGCACTCAACAGATTACAATATGTATGCTTGAAATTCTGACCAGCAATATGGCAATAAAGCATCACAAATGCACCCACAAGTCAAATCACAGCTAACTGCATCTGGGTCGTTTTTTTTTTTTTTTTTACAGTCACATGGCATAAGAAGCATTCCTACTTCAGTCAAAGTCCAAAGGTTCTTCTAACAATCTCGGGTCACTTGGTACCCTTGGCCTTGCCATGAGTGGAGATCTGGACCTTGGTACCACTGGCCTGACACCTCTAGATCGATATGCACCTGGAGGGGGCCTGGAGAATATACATATTTATTAAAGACTTTCTATCCCAGGTAACTGTTACATTTGAACTCACAATTTTAAATCATGCAGGTTAAAAGAGTACATCTTTAGGACAGGGGTTTCAGCAACAAGCCATAATAATTATGTGGTTTCAAATAACTGGTTAGGACAAGTAAAAAAAAAGCAATCAGAAGTGGGCAGGTTAAAGAAGCTGTCTGAGGCAGGAGTAAAGTTAAATGCCTGGGGACAGAAATAAAATTAACTGGGACAGGAATAAAAGTAAGTGGCTGGGACAAGTGTGAAATTAATAGTCTGAGACAAAGGTAAATGTTACAATGAGGAGAGCGATTGAGTTGTCTCATATTTTTCCAAAACTAAACACAAAAGACTAAACAAATAAACTTATTTAAAACAATTACCAAACTGGCCCCTCAAAAGTTTCATCTATGAGAAGTAACATGTTTTTGTAAGTCATACAACTATGACCAGATTGCAACAACAGAAAGTGAACAGGGGTGAGACTAGACATGGGCATTATGCAAGAAACAAAAGAAGAATAATAAACCCACTAAGAACTGGTGTCATCAGCGGCTAAATGTGAAGGTATACACTGAGGAGAGGATCTGATATACAGTGAACAGCTGGATGTGCAGTGAGGATGTGTCTGGATATGCCAGTTAGCTAACTGCATTTCCAACATGAAGGCAAACATCTCATCCCAGTACTGCTCTGTTCATGTCCCAGGGAAAACCATACAAGATGCCTTTCAATACCCCATTTTAAAACCAGTGAAGCAGATCAGTCCTGGCCAAATCCAGCATCTCCTTCTACATGCCTGAGATGCCAACAGTTCACCTCAATGACTGCTTTTCATCATTAATAGAAGCATCAGTCAGGAGAAAGTGGCAACTGCACACACAATATTGCATAAGGGATACCGAAACTTCTGGCGCAAAATGACTATCTGGAATTTTCAGAATAAGTAATTCACTACAAAAAACCACCATAGGCACACAGATGAGAAGCATGCCACATCAACTAGATGGCTCACAGTATTGCATCAAGCACTCAAGCAATAGAACCATACTAGAACCATTGTGGGGAAAACAAGAACAGACCCACTACCTCCCCAACAAGCATGTTGTTGAAGTCAATTATTGGGGATTTGCTTGGAAGTCCAAAGGCATCTGCCCAAGCAGCAAGAAACAACCAACTGCGCACAAATAAGCCAGTAAAACCAATGTACATGCAAAACTCGGGCAGCGGCACAAAAGCTAAAGTCCAAATGAACGAACAACCAGGATTTTCCGCCGCAGCTTACTGCCAGTGAACAAAGAAGAAGAACAGAACAACTAAGATAACATGCAAACAAAAGATAACATCAAAGAGAAAAATTCCTGCAAAAGGTCTACCTTCTAGGACGATGTTCATCGTTCCAATCCTCATGTCTTCTCTCAAACCTGCTAGATTCAGCTCCCCAGTTTCTGTCACTCCATCGTGATGAGGGTGGACGAGATGGACCATCCCACCTCCCACCTCTTGATCCTCTCACCTTGTCTCGATCCTCATCTTCATTCCACCTGCTTCGATCACTCCTCCCCTCCCACCTCCGTTCGTCAGATTTCCGTCTCTCATCTGGTGAGTGTGTAGCTGGTGGAGGCCCTCTCCTCCTCTCTTCCTTACCACTGTCCGTCGGTTTATCCACAGGTTTTCTGTCTACTTTCACTCTATCCACCTCCTTCTCCTTCTCTGGGCTATTGTCTGAGCCTGGACTCCCCTCTGTGCTGACACTCCTAGAGACGTGGCTGCTAGCAACACTATCATCGTCACTGCCACTTTGGCTACCTTTATCAGAACGCCGGCTTTTTCTCCGTTGTCGTCTCTCTTTCTCCTCCTCTTCCCTTTCCCGATGTCTTTTCTCTCGCTCTCTTCTCCTCATCTCTAGTGCCAAAGTTCTGATCTCTTCTTCCCTGTCCTGTCAAGAAAGAAACGCAAAAATTGAAAAAATAAAACTTTAGAATATTCAGAAAGAATTCAACAATGTTTTTATGTGTTATCAAACAGAATATTATGGAAATCGATCTTTTTAATGTAATACAATCTTATTATCATAAGAGATTCCTTGAAGTTATACTGATTGTTAGATTAACAAAATGCACACATGTTAAAACTGATGCTTGAAGTCATGGACTAACAAACTGAAGGATCAGCAAAGCATGAATAAAGAAACCGAGGGATCAACAATCTAACAGATTATTACACGGATGAATTAACAGTTGCAGTTAATTTAAGTGATAGAGAAGTGAATCTTCTCGACTAAAACTTGAATCTTCTCAATTACAACTGATAGAATAAATAAGTAAATTAAATGCTGGACTGGGTGTAATGAACAGCTAACCAGCTCGCAATTGAGGAAATTAGTATCCAAAGCCTTCTAACTTCTGCTGGGAAAGACCGAGCAATAATTAATGAACAAGCCAGTTCAAGCCAGAACAAGCCAGAAAAAGATCTTCCGTCTACTGGGATCTGACCTCAGGGTTACACATGAAAACACAACATTAACATCACACATACCAGTCTTTCTTGTTCTTGTTTAGTAATTTTTGTGATTTCTGCCTTTTTATCAGCTTTAACTGTAGAAAAAAAATTGAACATACATAATGATAGAAAGGAGAATTAAATACAAATTAATTATTCTGAGAAAGTAAAGGTAAATTTCACACCAGATGCTGTAAAACAAACCACCGATTTATGTTGTGATGCCCAATTCCATGTGACACTTAAAGGTTTTGAGGCTTTAAGCTAACAAGGTCATTGCAACAGGGTTTATACCACATGGCTTTGGTCTCCCTCTGCAAACTGCTAGCCATCTGCCAAGAGCATTGCACAAAGCACAAACACCTTAGCTCCAGCGACATAATATACAATTGTAATTCTGATTCAAACAACACAAGTCAATTAAATTAAGCTACGATCTTCAGGAAAACACCACTGCTACAACAAAGTAGCAATATGTGGTCAACCACTTTTGAAGCATTTGCTTGCTAGCAAAAGAATCTAATGTGTCAGCTGTGACACTTCAAAAGGTTGTTAGCGATAAACTGTGTGTTTACAGTATGTACCACGGATGTTGACCGTCCACAAAAACGAGGAACACATGGTAAGGTGTTGAACCACTTGCTGAATGAAAGAGTCATTGTACTCTCTTTAATTCCTTTCACTTCTGCATTTATCTATAATTACATCTCCAAGACAGAGACATGTTTTACTTGTTCAATTATTTCTCAGTTAATCTAAGAGCGCAGATTTACATAAGTCAAGAGATTTGTCCCCAGTACCACATATTATGTTACAAAGTCTGATGACCTGTTTGCCAAGTCAAGATTACAAACACCAAGGTATTGGAAACAGCAGATATCAGAATATTTGTCTCAATGTTCAGTTTCACAACAGTTTTCTCAATGCTCAGTCTTCACAGGCGAAAACAAATAGCTAAAACACAACAGTATAGTGGAGTCCCTAAGGAGATCCTTTATAGTGAATTACAGATGGGCAGAAGACGTTGGGACCGTCCTCTATTATGATTTAAAGATGTGGGCAACTATATCATGGTTGATACAAGTCATGAGTTGAATTCATGTGAGAACAGGATGCCAAGCGACTGCTGTAAGATGCCAAAGTGTATACCGTCACCAGAGTTAGGAAACCCCATTCGACAATATTCAATCCCAACAAAGAGTAGGAAACCACGGATAAAAACAGAATAACACAGGGAGTAGTGGCCAGACAAGATACATGTGAGACGCACACATTCCTTGTTAAAGAAGGAGCGAAATGAGAGAAATGAGTATGTGTGTGGTGCAATTATAACAGTAGCTGAGTGTGTCAAGAGATACGGCCTGACTGCGGCCTGCTGGGTAATTAACTGACTTGTGTGTGGTGAATCAATAAGCAAAGCCACGTCGACTTGTGAGCACGTATTCTTTTTCAATTGGGAATTAATTCAGCTTTAAGTTCAGTTTATGTCGGCTGCTGTGTGAGGTTACCCTAAACTGACGTAAGACTGTGGACACTTGGACGATTGGTGATTTAAATCAAATGGCATGTGGATTTTTCGAACACCAAATCTTGTTCGGACGACTGTGAGAGGTTTTACAGTTTGTGTGTGATGTCAGAGGTGTGCTGTGTATCAACGACCCTAGACACTGAGCAAACACAGGCAAACATACAGTGACTCAGTACAGGCAAACATACAGTGACTCAGTGCAGGCAAACATACAGTGACTCAGTACAGGCAAACATACAGTGACTCAGTACAGGCAAACATACAGTGACTCAGTACAGGCAAACATACAGTGACTCAGTACAGGCAAACATACAGTGACTCAGTACAGGCAAACATACAGTGACTCAGTACAGGCAAACATACAGTGACTCAGTACAGGCAAACATACAGTGACTCAGTACAGGCAAACATACAGTGACTCAGTACAGGCAAACATACAGTGACTCGGTACAGGCAAACATACAGAGACTCAGTACAGGCAAACATACAGTGACTCAGTACAGGCAAACATACAGTGACTCAGTACAACTGCATTGCATAGAGACAGAAAATTAGGGAGGAATTAGGAGACAAAACAAGAACAGGACTGCAGACGTGTTCACAGTGAGCTTCTCAGAAGTAAAAGTAAAGAACCATTTACCACGCCTTCAGGCGTATTGGAAATACATCGCTAGACCTTCATTTTTAGACCAATAGGCACATGGTGTTGGATGTGGTCAGAATCATGTTGGTCACCTTTACTTCCCAGGACTACACCTGGTACCCATTTAAGGCTGGATTGCCCTGGAGCCAAGGGCGTTTTGAGAAGTAACATATCAAATAAACGTGATGGCAACAATGGTCCTGAAATCTCATACAATGGTTGTGGAAGATCTTCTTGGACAAAGGCTAGTCCTGAAATCTCATACAATGGTTGTGGAAGATCTTCTTGAACATAGGCTGGTAGTGAAATCTCATACAATGGTTGTGGAAGATCTTCTTGAACAAAGGCTGGTCCTGAAATCTCATACAATGGTTGTGGAAGATCTTCTTGAACAAAGGCTGGTACTGAAATCTCATACAATGGTTGTGGGAGATTCTTCTTGAACAAAGGCTGGTCCTGAAATCTCATACAATGGTTGTGGGAGATTCTTCTTGAACAAAGGCTGGTACTGAAATCTCATACAATGGTTGTGGGAGATTCTTCTTGAACAAAGGCTGGTCCTGAAATCTCATACAATGGTTGTGGAAGATTCTTCTTGAACAAAGGCTGGTCTGGAAAGATGGACAGGTGCCAATCAAACCAACAGCTGACCTGGTCTAGTCAAAGTCTTCCATGGGATTGGTCATTTAAGGTGTAATGTTATCTGGTCCAAGCTGATCAAGTAAAAGGCACTGGGCCACAACCCAAAAAAAATAGTGAAATCACAAACAAATGATGTGCACCAACACACAAGAGGTGAAATCTTACTTATTTAGACAGCAATACAAACACAGACTGGAAAACAGACATAAATAATATAACAATCATAGAAAAATCAAGAGGAGCTCCACAACACTAGGAAGTCTGAGGCTGTGACACGAAATAGTAAACTACAAACGTTCATTAACTGGTGCTTGTGCAGAATAAAGGCAATTAAGTGGAATCACAGAATCACTAACATCAAACCGAAGCAGAGAACTAAACCAACTCTAGTGATTCTACAGGGGGGGAAAAGTTGCTGTTGCTGGAAATGACATGCAATTAGGAAACTAATTACAACATCCATATTTTCATAACACATGAGACAACTACTCACACTGCCTCGTTAGCTGAATCTGCATTCTTTTCTTAAGCAGCTCTTGAGGAGTTTTCTTCGAGCTCTTGCTGGAAGCCTAGAGGGGTCAAGTGTGAAAAACAAAAGGTTAACAAAGCATAACAGCAGACACAAACCAGTACTGAGCTCACAAACATGATTATGAAGCAATACGTACCGGCACAGTGACAACCTGGATAATGTTAAATGTAAAACAGCAAGCAGCCTCAACAACGCTAGAATGTGTTCTGTTACAATATCAGATGACAGAGCAACTTTCCATCTTTGTCAAAAATGTGCTAATCCTATTTTAATAGTTCAATGCTAAAAGCGAAAAGATGAAGATGAATGTGGGTCAACATTAAAAAAATGAATAGTCAATATATACAAAACAATTATTTAAAACAATTACAAATTTATTTTTTTTAATCAATGAAACAAGCTTCACTATTAATGTTATTAACACTATTATAGTTACTAGTGGGGGGGGGGGGGGGGGGGGGGGAATTGAGAGATGGGAAGCAGAGAGAATGGGGGGGGGGGGGTTTGAGAGATAGGAAGCAGAGAGAATGGGGGGGGGGGGGTTTGAGAGATGGGAAGCAGAGAGAATGGGGGGGGGGGGGGGGGGGTTTGAGAGATGGGAAGCAGAGAGAATGCTACTTTGCGTAACAACTGGATTCTTCCTGCACCTGGTTTGATTTGTGTTGTAGAACCACTGATCTCAGTTTGGTCTTGGATCAGCCACAGTCTTACTGGACAACACACACACACACAAACTTAGTAACATAAAACTGTTGCTCTCTCTCTCTCTCTCTCTTTCTCTCTCTTTCTCACAAAAGCAATAAACACCCGGTGACACAAAGTGCCACCAAACAGATGTGGATCACCTGTGGAGAGGTCCCAGAAACCCCTTTCAGGCGTTACAGTTATATTAATGGCCTAGCTATATTCAGGGCTTCAAATAACGAAAAATTGCATAACACATGGGAATGACTAATATAAAACTGTTGCTGGTAGTTGGAAATAAAAAAACAGCGGGCTAACACTGCCAAATGTGGAGTTACAAAATTTTAGTAAAGCTACAATCAAAAACATTATATGATATCTTTTTTAATGCCCTGATTGTGTCCTGGGCTCTATTTTGAAGAATAAACCTACGGCTTCCCAAGGAAGCGACTAATTAGGGGTGTTTCCTTCAAAGTCAGAGTGCATCTGCCTGACAGGCAAGGAACCAACAGTCTGCACACACAAAAAGCCAGCTATTTAAAACAAATATGCACATAAAATGCAAGTTATGGATCAAGACCAAAGTCCAGGAATGGACAAACAACCAGAACCTTCCATGATAGTTTACAGCCAGTGAACACTAAGAAAAAAAGATTTTTTAAAATGTCATTATGGGTTCTGTGAGTACTTTAAAGTTTATGCTCAGTGATGAGATTCTCCCTGTGCAATCTAAGCGGAAGAGACTGAACACTTATGGAGACATCTGTGTGCAAAGACAGTGATTCGTTACCAACCAAACCACACATGCACTATGCTAAGGCCAGTGTAGACTTGTCAAGGTGAACTGAACAAGCAGATGACTGATGCCCAATGATGCTACCAAAAAGACAACTTACCATTTTATCCCATACCCCACCCCCACCCCTCCCTGCCACATATGGCATGGCTCATGATGTCTGCCTTGTGAGTCCTGACTGCCAGATTTTTTACCCTGATTGCCAATATCAGACAATGTAACTCATTTTGTTTGCCATCAACTCTAGTCAAATCGACCAAATTCTTTTGTTCAAATCAGGTAATCTGCTAATTAGTTTCTCAAAGCATTCTAATTCTGTCTATAAACATAACCTGTGTCTGAACAACTATCTTCTCCTCCAATCAAATTCAAGTTTCTTTGTTTATTAGTTCACTATTAATTAATTTCTCAAGATTCCCGTCTGCCTAGATTCATGACATGGAAAGAGATCAGCATATGAACTGATCTATTCTGCTGAAGAACTGGGGTTGTGAAGATGTATGATCACTAACACCAGCAGTTGGCAGAGCAACTGATGATGAGAAAAGATATCCATCAATTTTTCAATTTATGAAAAAAAAATCATCAATTAGGCTGATGAGAATACATAACAGACCATCAAATGTTCGGTGAATAGGTGCAAGGAATCAGAAACTAAACAATGAAAACATGACATCAGCTATTCACTAGGCCTATTACCAAAGTATGAAATACACTAAAGCAGGAATGGATGAAAACAGAATAATAATTACAAACTGTGCCGTCTTCATGACGACGAATGATGGCTGCAATGTATTCATTGCTAACTGAAAATATCAGGTAGTAAGGTCGCAATCTCTTCCACAGCGTGACTCTCTTACCACTGTTTGAATTGCCAGGATAATGCTTTTTCTAGACTGCTCACCACAGGAATCAAATCCTGGCAAAAATTTGAATGTTTTTTTCCCTTTCAGTGAATATATAACACCATTTATCCACCAACTGTAATAAACAGATGAGAGCTACCAATGAGCCTAGCAGCAAACATATTTCAGCAATACCACGTTCAGACATGTTCCCTCCACAGTGCAGTAGTGGCCTGGTACAAACCTAAGCATCATACATTAAGTGCTGCATTAATTCAATTACAGCTATGTTCCATTAAAAAGAAAAGGCTCTTACTGACTTGAAATAGCACGGGCTTGCTGCCTATTTTACCACTCTTAGACGAGTCAGGCCTGCAAACAAAACAAACCAGAAATTAACTTGGATTTCGGAGGGGGGGGGGGGGGGGGGGGGGGCTCACATGGCCAACAAAATATAAATTAATACAGAACACAACAGGAAGAAAGGACAGACAACATCAACACAAACAAAATAATGATGGGAACACCTTTTCTTCATGTTCCCCGGTATAGAAAAGTGTAAGAAGTAATAAAGAAAATGGTAAGAAGTTAAATACATTCAACTAACAGAAGAAAAAATCAACAAAAACAATATAAACAAAAATATAAAATAAACATGGGAGGGGCAACAGCAAGGTGGCTAGCATTCGTGCCTGTCAGTAAAGCAGTCACAGGTTTTGATCTACATCAAGAGAGATTCTCTAAGCTCTGACCTGAACTCTGTGGACAACCCAGCCCAAGATGGGTCCCAGCAAATGTTCCTGGGAAGTAAAGGTGTCAAGCATAGGGCTGACCTTGCCACGCAAGTACCAACTGGTCTATAATCATAAGAGGCAGGCATCTTTTTTTTTCATGTTCCCTGGCTGGAATATCCGGCAGAAAGTTCTGGTAGTTCATCGACTTCTGGACATTGGTGGTATTGTTTCAGGACTTTAGTTTTGTGTGCATGTCCATTTTACAGACCTGGCTTACTTGTATGCAGACTGTTAGTTCCTCATCTCTCACCCTTAATTTGACTTTCATGACATGCCTGTTAGAGGTGCAGTGGGTCTATTATGTTCCCCTCAAAATGGGACCCCGGAACCCACATGGGGAGGACTAAGCACCATATACCCAGTGTGCCTCAAAGCAGGAAAAGGGTCCTGAACTTACATTCTTTTATCAAATAAATGACATAGAAAGCAGCCGAAAAGTAATAAGGAAAACAACGAGAATTTAAGATGGATGAAAAATAGCAATGAAATTAATATGGAAAATATTTAAGAAATTTAGACAGATGAATAGGTTAGTTGAGTAACCTTTACAGGACGTTGCAGAACCAACCCTAACAGCCCCTGGCTGTTAGACAGATGAATACCAGCAAGAAATTTAAGAGAATCATGAGAAATTAACATGAACAATGAGGAGAAAGCAACATGAACAATGAGGAGAAAGCAACATGAACAATGAGGAGAAAGCAACATGCACAACAGCCAGACAGTAATACTTTTATCACTAAACAATTATATCTACTACACTGCATATCTAAAGAACACTGTTTGAACACTGGTTGTATAGTTTAGGCTTAGATTTAAACACAGCAAGCATGCCTTTGTTATAGCATTGTATAAGGCAGGTTTTTAAAAATTGTATATTAAGATATGACCTCTACCAGATTTGTTTTGGCCCAATGAGGGTGATAATAATCTAAAACAATGTTCTTCAACTGGTTGACCTCAGCCCACTGGTGGGCTGCGGGAAAAGTCCATTTGAGTCAACAAAAATCTCTGCTTAATCACGTCTACAGTCTAGGGTAAGCAGTTCTTCTCTTTCATGGCTGCTGTCTGTAGGATATGGCATCTCAAGGATGTGAACGAAACAGGTATAAATTCCAGAAACCCTGTTCAACCGCATAAAACACTAACAGGCACCTGGCGGTTATGTAACATGTAATCCAGACTAACGACAATAACTTATGTAATGGCTAGATGATTCTTGCAAAGTGTGTGTGGCGTAGTACACATCAATTCTGTTTCTTTGTTTTCTTAACTGTCAGATGGGTTGTGAAACAATGTTCCCTGTTTTGGCGGGCCGCTGGTGTCAAAGGGTTGTGAAACAATGTTCCCTGTTTTGACGGGCCGCTGGTGTCAATGGGTTGGGGAACAATAATCGAAACACCTACAGCACAATACATAAAATACAAGCGCTATGTTAAAGAGGGATCATTAGAGGCACTGGATGTAAGAGAGACTTGTGTGCTCAAATTGTGACTCTGAAAATAAAGTTAATTAGACTGGCCATCTGCTTTTTTTTTTAATAAAAACTAGGTAATACAAATATAATTCAGGCAAATAAAAAAATTTCAGAAACAAATGAGCAATAGATATACATAATAAATTTGAAGAACTACCACTGCACACTCAGATACAAAGAAATGCCATGAGCTAGGGATGTACACTCTGCCTATGTTGAGTGTGTCAGAAAGATATGCTGCTGTCATCATTGCCTATTCCTTTCATATTTAAACTCTTGCGGGAGGTGCATTTTTAGTTAATCAGATAAGTCTTTGCTCTTTGTTTCATTCTTCTTTCTACTGAACAAGGCTTCATATAAATTTTACTGTATCAAGTCAGATGCGTTCTACAGAGTCAAATAAACATACAATGAAGCACAATATCCGAACAAATAAAGAAGTCATAACTGATGTAAAAAAAAAATCATCTAGAGTGGTTTTCTATTGCACTATCTTGAAGATTTAAAGATTTAATTCAGGTTAGGAGCCTGTCCTAATACTGGGCAGGTGACAACAAGTGGTGCATCCTCTAGCTATGGAGGTCAGTGAATACTGACAAGAATATGAAATGAGTGGCCAGGAATTAGAACAGAAAGTAATCACTGACTGAGAGGTGGTGAGTTAGTGCGCGGCATCAACAGCCAACAAATTTATGACATGACTATCGGTGTTTAACAGGCACTATATCCTCTCCCCCTTCTTGCTTTGTGGGGTTTGTCTTGCTTGGCTGAAGCTTTCAAAAGGATGAGGCACTTAGGAATATATCCAACTGCAAAGAAAGTGTTCCTTTCCAATTCAAACCACACACACACTATGCTGATCTTTCCTGGGCTAAGGTTAGAGCAGTTCCTTATGTTAAACGGAATCAGCAGATGACAGATGCCCCATGACTCTATCACAAAGATACCTTACCATTATCATTCATCCCCACAAATGTATTAAATCCCCGGCTAATCCAATCCGTAGCTCCCTCTAATGATAAGCTGTGCCTAAGGATTCTGGTCGAACATAGGCTGCTGGCTTCCCATTACCAGTAATAAATCCTAGCTTTATGGTCTTTAAGAGATCATGTAAGTTCTAGAACAAGTTGTTCATGTCACCAGCTGCCATTAGTTTAGGCTCCAACTTCACTGCAGATGGGTTGTCCTCCCCATCCCATTTGAAATATATTGAAAAACATGTCACTCAAACAAACAAATTAAATGCATAAGGCAGCCAACCGATGTGCCAACACTGACAGCCCAACACTAGAATTGCAGCTCATTGTTGACGCAAAAAGTAAATTATGAAAACCAGCACTGTGCATATTTTAGTGTAGTTCACAGCACAAAGCAGTTAGCGGGCATAACACACACAAAAACATTCCACATGATATTCCACGAAGCACTCAACTTAGTAGCTGGCAAACCATCTGGTTACTTGGCACCTTTCCAGACATTAAGTGTTATACTGTGCTATGAGGAGGCCTGGGATTCAAAGCCTATAGTGATCACTAGTGTGACTAGCAAGACTCGCCTGTGTTAAAGAAGTCTTCCACAAATAGAGCAAGGGATTTCATGACCATTGTTTCCATCATATATATTTAGTGTGTTTCTTTTCAGACGCTCAACTCGCATCCTTTCTGCAATCATTTTTTTTTTTTCCTTTTTTCATTCCCTTCCTGAAATGCCCCCTCCATGCATCACTGTCCATGGTATTTTGTTCCTATGAATCTACTTCAGTACCTGTCCAACTTGTACACATCTTTATATCGTCTTAAAGGCACCAACCAAGAGTATGTGTGTAGTCAGTGAAACATTCCAGTTTTATTCTTATTTTGGTTAATGTAAACAGAGTGTACACTGACTCATAAACTGACATTAGCAATTTAGTTTTTATATATGAGTATTTTAAAAGTAATGTGCCATCTGTCACTATAAACAAAACAATGATACTAAAAAATAAGAATAAATATAACGTTAACAACTATGGCACCATACAGTGCGGCTTATGGTTTTGACTACTAGTCAGTAGACAGACCCACTGCCCCCTAATTTTAACATAAACAAAGTGGCACAAGAGCCTGCTTGTACTCACATTCTGTTGAATTCATTCTTTAAAGAAGTTTTCAACTGAGGTGAGGATGTGGAGGTTTGATTTGTTAGCTTCTCTTCATCAGACTCCATGCCACTCAGTTCTGAGCCAGTGGACAGACTTTCTCTTCTGTAGCGTTTGATGACAGGCTTCTTCGTGGGACTTTCTGATCTGTGAACAACAAATAAATCTTTCAGTCTAACACAATATACTTTCTTTACTTGGACTTTCTGATCTGTGAACAACAAAAAATCTTTCAGTCTAACACAATATACTTTCTTTACTTGGACTTTCTGATCTGTGAACAACAACAAAATCTTTCAGTCTAACACAATATACTTTCTTTACTTGGACAAAATCATATATGTGTGTGTGGGTGTGTGTGTGTGTGCGTGCATGTGAGAGAGAGACTACAAACAAACAAACCAGCAGACTGGTTGTTTGGATGACTGCTTAAAGAATCTTTTGGAGGACTGGGTTTGAAGTCCAATGTACTGGCATTCAGGTCAGATCAGTCGCAAAAAATAAACTTGCATCTATCAGAATAAGGCTGTCTGTCCCATTTGGTGGTCTGCAATCCTTCTTGGGATTCTAAAATTCTAAAATTATAATTTATTTTTCAGTGTGACCTCCAAAATTAAGATGGGTCCGCAGGTCTAAACTAATTATGAACTGCTGCTGTAGAGGCTTTCTTTCTGGCCCCAGTGCTGAAGTATCATCCTAACAGAGATTTTGTTTTAAACTCTTGCAGTCCCATTCCTCTGTGGTAGTTCAGAGATTGACACAGTAGTCGAGACTTGAGACTTCTCATCTAGCTCTCCTAGCTCAGCGACTAGCACAGTTGTCAAGACTGGGAGTTCTCCTTTTCCTCTCCGGACACAGCTGTCAATACTGGAAGTTCCTCCTTTCTCTCTCCTAGCTCAGAGACCGTCACAACTGTCAGGACTGGTACAAGAGCTTCACATTCATAGGGACACATCTTAGGAAGATGTCATGACTCAGCACTGCATTGAAGGACTGGTGTAATCAGGAAGCAGGAAACTACCATGGTAATGCTATCAGTGGTTTTAGGCATTGCATTATCAGGACACTCCAACTAAATGCCCCCCACCACCAAAAAGCAAAAGAACAACACTGACTGATCTTTTTCTGACTTAAAATGATACTAAAACATTATTATATAATCACATAACAGCAGAACTGCCAAATTACTACACTAGTCTAGTTTATGTTGATATATACATCCTCTTCATGTCACTGTTGGCAGTCAGCTTCATTTCTGCCCACGGTTTCCCACATCATTGTTATTTATCTTTGCATGCACATCCATTTTACGGATCTGGCTTACTTGTGCACTGACCTAGTTCCTTGCCTCTCGGGCAGATTAGCTCCAACTACGAAGGAAACATCCTTAATTAGTCGCCTATTATGACGACCACAGCTCCCAGGTCGACACAGATAAAGTCCTGGAAAGTAATGACAGCCGGCGTGATGCTGGTGTCTGACACCATATATTCAATAAATGGGTACCCCTCACTGGGAAAACATTTTTTTTTTAAATCAAACCCTACTGGAGACAAAAGATAAAGGTAGACAAATCAAAGTTCGGCTATGATACAAGCAGAAAGATAGCATCAAGTGATGGATGACATCTTGGGTAGACAAACCAAAGTCGGAGGAAAAAAAGTACTGGTGATTCACTGAAGCTGACTGTCATTGTGAAGAAGGCTCTGGATCAGCTAACATTATAATGTTACTGTAACAAAATGTTTACCTTCTGAGAGACTTCGTCCTTGAGGACCTGGACTGAGACCTGGACCTGCTGCGTGACGCTGAGGAACCTGAATGTGATCTACGCTCTCTCTTTGATCCGGTTAAGCCGCCACCTCCATTGCTACCTTGTCTGGTTGAGGATGACCTTCTGTTGTCTGAACAAGACCGCGACCTTGACTTAGACCTTGAATACGACCTGTCTGAAGAAAAGCTCGACTTACTGCTGCTTCGATGCTTGCTGCGAACACGAGACCTTGAGGTAGATCTAGAACGAGAAGAGGATCTACGAGACCTGCTTCTGCTTTCCTTTGGACTGGATCTCTTTCGTGACAACCTGCAATATGTAACAGGAAAATACTGCAACATTTTGTTAGCAATCAACGCCTAGTCCACATCTAACTCACAAAGTGTTACAAATTCAGTTAGAGGCAATTCAGGATCCCAGGGTGTCCAGGAGCCCCTGACTACTGGGAGAGGATCAGATGCTTAGTCGTCTCAGACAAGAGTAGGAGGTTCTGTGTGCATGCTGAGCAAGTTAACAACTAGAAGAAGGAAATGGCTGGGGAAAACAATTCACCCTCAGCAGTGAAGAATGTTCTAGCTTAGAATATCCACCCAACACAGCATTTACAGAGACTATGACTATGACTTCAGATCTGTGGCATATAAAGTGCTAACAAATAATTTCAAGACTCTGATCCAATCAAATCAGTGTGATTTTGTCTATACTACACAGCGGCTTCATTAGAAATCAAGGTCAACTTGCTTCCTGATTGTCTGCTGCCGTCCTTCACAAATCTCAGGCACCTGTTTTATGAGACTGAGCCAGTCCCCAAGGTTACTTAATGCAGTCAATAACAACAAAATTCTCACAACAGCAGCGAAACATTATTTAGAGACCCTGATCCACCTTCCGCCTTGGAGCCACGTCAAATATATAAATATTAATTTAAACCCAAGACCGAATGGGCGGTATATACTTATACATAATCATGGAGCCATGACGGCACAGTAGTTAAGACACTCGCCTGCCAACATGAAGATCATGGGTTTAAATCCACACTGGACTAACTGGGGGGGGGTGTTGCTGACCTTGGCTTGTAAAGGTGGCTGGAGTGATGTTGACCATATTACACAGAGGACTGACTGGTATATAAAACTATGAGTCTAGCAGTATATGCCTGACGTGTCACTAATGTAAAATGGGTGTCTCACTTGATCTTTATTTATATACCTCTCCTCCAATTTTCTAACTGCCACAATGTACTCCAGTACCTCCTTCTCAATATGTGATCAAAGAATGTAGGCAGCCTCCTTCTGATGTGGAGAATAAGTTCTCTTGATGATTTAATTTCTTTCAAGACTTCTTTCACTACAAAACAGACCCCATGAAAAGATACATAGAAGCAGGAAAGAACATTCAATAAACTGATGTTTTACTTAATATTTGTTCAGACAACTTTTGAATTAACCATAACAGTGGCAAGTAGTATTGGCCCTGGACTATCGACTGTAACGCAATGCTGAACCCTCTTCAGTAGCAGAATGCACAACGCGATAGATCCTGCTCTGTCTGACAAACCACATAAAAATGGCAATCAGCGATCCAAGAGCTTGTCTGATACTAACCACGTGTGACGCTGAGCCTGTACAAGCAAGGCCTCAATATCATATCACTGATATGTCCTAATGGCACGTGACGGATACCTGACTTTGTTTTTAACATCGCTTTTACGTATTCCCCCAAGTCCTAAGGTTCGTTTCTCGTGGTAGATAAACAAACTCCGTTCTCGCAATTTTTGGACAGTGGTACAAGAGTCGCACCATGGCAAAGATTGTGGCTCACCACAAAATATTGTAAAAGACAATGGTGGTACACTGCATCCAATCTTTACTGTAGAAATGACAGACATTTATATAAATTATATGTATCTCAAAGGTTTCTTTACGTTTGATGTGATGTACCATTCCTTGAATATGATGATGGATCAAAGATAAGAACCAGCCTCAAACAAAACCCCAATAAGACAGCTAAATAATCCCCCCAGCAAGGCAAAAAGAGAGCTAGCCATCAAGAGAAACTCAAACACCGACCATGGAGTCTCACACTTAGAGGGTTCACGCTGGGAAGTCCGTTTTTTAACTGCTGATTTTGAGTTTGATGGGAGTGAAGGCCCCTGAACTACACCGCTTTCATCATCGCTGTCTGCTCCAAAACTGGTGATGAATTTCATTTGTGGAGGTTCTGACGATCTTGACCTTGACCTTGAGCGTGATGAGGAGCCAGGTCTGGAGAAAAACAAATCAAACAGATTTTTTTAAATGAACATACATACACATGGTTGAAATAACAGGATGAACAAGATAAAACATAAATTAGCATACATAATTAAAATAACAGTGAACAAGATACATACAAATGGTTAAAACAACAGTGAACAAGATAAAACATACATATAACAGATTCTTTAAACAATCAGTATACATATTAATGGTTGTACTAACAGGATGAGCTAGATTAAACAAATTAATATACATACAAATGGCTGCAATAACAGGTTAAACTTAAAAAAAAAACATAAATTACCATACATACATATGGCTGTAATTACAGAATGAAGTACATAAATTAACGTATGTACAAATGAGAGTAATAACAGGATGAACTAGAAAGAAAGAAAAAAGAATATTTTACAGGCAAAGAAATGTTTGTAAACAACATTGCAAACAGCTTGTAACATTCATTCTGAAACTTATAAATATAAAACATGAAAAAAAATCAGATTCAAATACGCACCTTTTATAAGGCTCATATTTTGGACTTTCTCTTGCAGCATAGCTGAAAAGGTATAAATATATACAATGACTCTATTATTACTTCTCTTGCAGCATAGGTTTCCTGGCTCTAACTGACCTGTCTACGTGAGGAATGTATGACAAGCATCTCCCGAAGGTCACACAAGTTATTTCATCGTGTGTGTTCTCTCGATGTCCCTACCATACATGAAATATCTGTTTCAGTGAGGGTAAAGAAGTTGACTGACAACTATATATAACTCATTCTTAGTATTTCAAATGTTCGATGTGGGAGGTACTAAAACAATTCCGCTGACTGCCTTTATTCCTAAGAAACGTGGTTTAGTGTCCAGTGCCTTTCCTGCAAATCTGGTGTAAAAGGACACAAACTGTGGCATTTCAAATAAAAAGTACCAAATGAAATTGATACTTTTAGTTTTTCTTGCTGTTGACTGTTGGTTTTTTTTTTTATTCAACAGTTATAATTAAAATAGGAATATTCACTGTTATTATTTTCAAACGCCACACACAGACATGTTTTCCTAGTAGGTAAAAGTGAACTCAATAGTGTTGACTGCATTTTCCACTGAATGCTGATTGGTTAATAAAAATACAAGTCAAGCACCACATGCCTGAGGTGTTTCTAGTGCACATATGGAAAGAACACGAGTTACTATGTAAAATATCATGCATGTCATAACAAGCTCTTCTTCTTCATGTTTATCAGCTGTAAACTCTGACAGAAAATTCTGGACTTTAATCTTGTTCCATAATTTAAAAAGTTGTGCACACATCCCTTTTACAGATCTGGCTTATTTTTATGCAGACTATTGATACTTCACTTCTCAGGCAGATGCACTCCGATTTAAAACAAAACACTCCTAATTAGTAGACAATAACGACATGCTTATTTAGGCGTGGGGGGCGCAGTGGATCTATTCTAACCCCCCCCCCCCCCCTTGAGCCACAATGGAGCCCTGGAACCCTCAAGGGAATCATTATAAGCAGTTATGGTGAAGTGGTGTGAGCCTGGCTACTGTGAGAAAACGTTAAAAGCCGTAGCATCCAGCCAATCATTAACACCTTTACAATATAAATCAAGGGTTTATGCTCCAGGTGTCTGTGGCTTATGTGTTGTCAACGCACATTACAATTCTGTTGTGCCGGGTTCGATCCCAGCCAGCTGGTGTATGACTCCACGTCATGGAGGGGGAAACCATTAAGAGAAACTACATTACCATTTGCCAGATTTATTCTCATTATTTGTCTCTTTCCCTGATGGATTTTCAGAGCTAGCTGTTGTGATCTTGCATCAAGTATATTTAATTTATCTTGCATATGATTACAACTCCAGAGCTTAGTTTAAAAAAAAAATTTTTAACAGTGAAAATCCTTTTCTTTCACAGAAAAATACCATAATTAATTATACCTACCTCGGTCTGCTAAACCTCTGGGGGTTTTGCCGTTTTTCATTTATGGCTCTTCTTTCCCGCCTAGACTTTCGACCCTAAAATAAGAATTCAGTGGAATTTTTTTTTTAACAATTTCGAACATAATCATTGTATTTTTTTTTAATTGTAACATTTCTATTTTAGATAATTATTGCAAATTTTGTTATTCCATCAACATTCAAATAATCAAAGTTTCTTATTTTTAAGGACCCCCCCCCCCCCCTCAATTTTCTTTAAAACCGGGGTCATTAATGAACGTTCAGACATGCTACTATGTAAGGTAAGTGATCAACGAAAGAATCTTGTTCTAAACTTTATTGCTGGGTGTGTTTTTCTGGTGTGCCAGTATGTCTATGGCCCTTTAGGTTCTAGTGTATAGACATTCTTCTGCCTGGATATTATCTCGCCTTAATGGTCTACGAATGTTCAACCCCTTTGTGTAAAGTTTCTTTTTTCTCTGTCATCTACCATTCATTCTATAAATCCAAGCCATTTCAGTCTGCCAATGATCAATATGTTGGCACCTTTCCAGACAATACCGTGAATCACAGCCCATGGCGATGGTGGTGAGTGGGACTAGCAGGAACGCCTGCGTTAATAAAATTTCTACCATAATTCCTGCGTGGGAAGTCAGAACCATTGTGGCCATCATATTTATTTCTGGTGCTCCTTCTCAGATGCTCAGCCTATTCATTTCTTCCTACCCCCCTCCCTTCCTGCCAGTGATTAATAGTGAATTTTGTTGAGTTGTTGCTTCTCCTTTTCCATTCCTTGCTGCCTGCATCTCTAAAGTGTACAAAGATCTGTCGTAAGACTGTTTAAAAAAATTTGTAATAAGGCTTCATTTTATTTAGTTGTGCTCCAGGTTCTAGAGCTGTTTAAGACATCTGGTCTTACTAGCGTTTCATATATTGAGATCTTGGTGTGACAGGATGCAGCATCCGATTCCAGCAGATGTACAGCATAATATACTTTATTTCTAGATTGTATTTCTTCTCTTGCTATGTTGAAACAGTTTTTATCCAAGTACATGAATGCTTCTGTTTAATTGATTTTCAAATTATCTATTTGAATGTGACTGGAATTTGTAATCCTTTCCCCGCCTTGGTATTACCCTGCATTCTGTCTTATCTTGATTGATAACAAGTCTCAAAAACTCTAGCTGATATTATAAATCTAACATGCTGGCGCCAAAACTTACAGAGAATTGAGCTTTGGCTTCCTCTAGTTGTTTGGCTGCCCTTAATACTTCTATCTCCTCTTTATCTTTTCGCAGCAATCTGTGAATATATAAAGCATCAGAAAATATTCAAAAATTATTGTTTAAAGCATAAACTGTAAATGGGCACCCATGTACATCACAAATAAACAGCATAGAGATGTTGAACATGGGAATATGTACATGCAGAGGGAATTAAATGGTACGACAGAATCACGGATGTGGAGCTTTGGGAGAGAACTAAGTAAAATTCTTGTGAATCCATAGGTGAAGAAAAGATATCGGTGTTGGACAGAACCAACCCAGTGTGGGTTCTGGAGCCCCATTTGAGGGCTGGGGGGAAGGGGGACAAACCCACTGCCTCCCTAACAAGCATGTCATAAAAAGAGACTAAGAGATTTTTCCTCCAAAGTTGGAGTGCATATGCCTGAGTGGAAAAATTTACTTAAAAAGAGTTACAAATTGGACATGCAGGCCCGTCTTACATTCGGTCCTTCAAAGCACTCATCTTTCAAGCTACAACGGCATGTTATCAATGTTATATTTATACACAAATATAAATAATTAAATAATGCATCACACATATGTATATACAACGATACATACTCAAAATATAAATGTACACATACACTCTTATATGCCCATACATACAAAGACACAAGCAAACTCATACATATACACACCTACACACATATTCATACATATACCCTCATACAAATGCATGCACTCATGCTCATACACACCTTATCATACACAATCACCCCTACAAGCACATACACCCATATATCCTCAAACACCCTAACAGACCCAAACTTAAACATACATAAAAACCTAATTGCAGTCAGCAATACATACACAAGCATCTTATTATACATAACCACCCATACATACAAAAAAATTGGTGCTTCATTAATATCCTACCCCAAACAGGGAAAATCCACAGGATTCGGGACAGTCTAATATTTGGGGGGGGGGGGGGGGGGTGTAGATAGGTTGCATGCAGACGAAAATGTTAGACTGTCCTGTGATGTCATTTGCAGTTGTATATTAATAAAGAACCTAAAAAACATAAGACAGACAGCAAACCATGTTCAAAGTGTTTAGAAATGGGCATGCACGCCCGTCTTAACATTTTGCCCTTCTAGTCTCCCATTGGGCATGCAGGCCATCTAACATTTTGCTCTTATAGTCTCCCATTGGGCATGCAGGCCATCTAACATTTTGCTCTTATAGTCTCCCATTGGGCATGCACGCCCGTCTTAACATTTTGCCCTTCTAGTCTCCCATTCGGCATGCACGCCAGTCTTAACATTTTGCCCTTCTAGTCTCCCATTGGGCATGCACGCCATCTAACATTTTGCTCTTATAGTCTCCCATTGGGCATGCAGGCCATCTAACATTTTGCTCTTATAGTCTCCCATTGGGCATGCAGGCCATCTAACATTTTGCTCTTATAGTCTCCCATTCGGCATGCACGCCAGTCTTAACATTTTGCCCTTCTAGTCTCCCATTGGGCATGCAGGCCATCTAACATTCTGCCCTTCTAGTCTCCCATTGGGCATGCACGCCATCTAACATTTTGCTCTTATAGCCTCCCTTCTTTCATTCATTTTTACATTCATTGTAAACAGGTAAAAGTAAACTTTATCAACAGCATCAAAATATTATCAGGCAATTTTTCCAGAAGGTGGCAAATATTCAAATGACCTAATCTAAGCCCTGTTTTACTCAGCCAGTGCTTACATGTGTCAGACATTATAAAAGTGCAATGTGACAACAGAATAAAAGTTCTGTCAACATATAAGTATAAGTTACAACAATAAAATAATTCTAGCAATTCAAAAGTATTTTTAAAAATTGCAACAATAAAATAGTAATGGGGAAAAGGGGGAAAACAAATTAAAATGAAGAGAGTGAAGAAAAATTGAATTCAAATGACTTGTCTGAATACAAGTAAGCTAGATCTGTAAAACGGACATGCATACAAACTTCAAGTCTAGAGCAAGACTGAGATTCAGAAGTGAACAATCAGAACTCTCTGCCTGGAGTTCAAAGCTGGTGAATGCTAAGAAGAAGAAGAGGATATGACACACTTTGAGAAAACCTGAGGACAATATAACTAGAATATCAATAGAATGAAACCCACAGGGGCATAGAAATTAAGGGAGACCGAGAAGAGAGCTAGAGAGTGAAGTTAAAAAGACTGCGGAGATATGGGGGGTAGATTGCATGCAGCAGCAAAGGATAGAACAACTTGGTAAGAGTTGGTTGAGAGCTTACGCTGAAGTTGGAGACAGAGGGTTGAAGAAGAAAAAGACATCAGCATTCTTCAATATTACCATCATCATTTATCCTATGCCAGCACTGCTGGTAACTGTGCTGCACCACAAATTGGCTTCTCTCATGTCTCCGACAAGCTCTACCACTGATTATTTTCTACAGTGTTTGATAACCTATCCAGCATTACTTCCTTTTGTTGCCATGTATACTTCTATCACTTTCTATCATGTTGTAGTATATGATCTTTACCCAAAATATCCATAAGAATGAAACTGTCAGCCAGGTGGGTAGAATTAAAGGTGAGCTATCATTTCCCAATTAAATGCCCAAGATTACAAACTATCTCAGCAGAAGTGTAACTCTTGGACTTGTTTGAAACAAGAGAAGGGGTAACAAATTAATGAATTAGCATTTTAAAATCAGATTTGCTCCATGTAGTTTTATTTACTTGTCAGGATACTTGAAGAAGCCACACAATACAAAACCTAAGAATCTGATCAAGGCAAAGATCCACATAAAGATATGTTGAAAGCCCAACAGTGTAATCTATCGTCAGTTTTCTCTGTAATGTGCAGACACAACTGACACAGGTATATGGCTACCATTCTGCTGTAGTAAACAGGTGAAGAAGGTGACACTGCTCTTTTACCTGATGAAGTCATCATCTTTCATCCCATACTGAGCTGCACACAGGTTGACCTCTCGCATCTGGTCAGGCGTCAAGACATCAACATCAATAGTTACATCTGAAAGGAAACAAAAAAAAACAGTTGTCAAATCTCATTTTTTTAAATAGGCTGAGGTCTAAAATGTTGGGTGTCTGTGGTTTAGGTGTACGCGCTTTGTAATGACGGGGTGCCAGGTTTGATTCCAGCTGGTTTGTCTTGCGTTGGTTTCAACAGCGGCATTGAGAGCTGACCATTTAGAAACAATGGCAAACAACTGAACGTAAAATCTGCCTGGTAAAACCACAACAGCCACACACATAAAAGCGAGGTTGGTTCAGCAACGTCCCATAAAGGATACGCAACGAACTTAAGGTCTAAAATGAGCAAAAAAACTTAACTTGTTAAAACTCCTCTCCTGATAAGATGCTAAAAGACTGGGTGCCTAGTCTTCTCATTTAATGATGCAATGTCATGTCTCATGTGCATGATGCACTCCAAAAAAAAAATCCCATGGCTACTGAAAATCATAGAATTCCAGAGAAATTTGAGTAAAAAGCTCAACAAAATGGGGAAGCAGAAAAACGTGCACAAAACAATAAAACAACATAGGCTGCCCAGCCGAAACATTACATTATTTGTGTTGTTTTGTGCACGTTTCTCTGCTTCCCCATTTTGCTGAGCTTTTTACTCAAATTTCTCTGGAATTCCTTGTATTAGCTTGACTGCAGTCACCCTCATATTTTCACCATTTTTGAAAATCATAGAGCAGGCTGTAGGCAGCAACTGACAAAATTCATTAGGTACGTTGGGCACCCACAATTCAATATTATATAGCATGTAAATCTTATACACAGATGAAGTTAAGGGGAAACCACCACACTAATTTCCTCTGCATAGACATAACATAGCTACCTATAGGTTGTACTGAATGTACAAGTTAAAGAGCATTGTATGAACCCAGATGTGAACTCATAGTGCAGAAAGGTTGAAAGCATGAATGATAAAACATTAAGGTTGGAATAGCAAATGGCAAGAAAGATCAAATACAAGGATTAGACTAGCAAACAGCACGAATGATAAAACATTAAGGTTGGAATAGCAAATGGCATGAATGATCAAATACAAGGATTAGACTAGCAAACAGCACGAATGATAAAACATTAAGGTTGGAATAGCAAATGGCATGAATGATCAAATACAAGGATTAGACTAGCAAACAGCACGAATGATAAAACATTAATGTTGGAATAGCAAATGGCATGAATGATCAAATACAAGGATTAGACTAGCAAACAGCACGAATGATAAAACATTAATGTTGGAATAGCAAATGGCATGAATGATCAAATACAAGGATTAGACTAGCAAACAGCACGAATGATAAAACATTAAGGTTGGAATAACAAACAGCACGAATGATCAAATACAAAGGTCAAATCAGACTGCCTTCCAGGGAAAAAAACATACCCAAGTCTGCAGTTTCTATATCTTCTTCTAAACTCTCTTCGCCATCACTATCTTCATTGTCTAGAGCCTTGTCTGTAACTTGAGGGGTGCCTTCATACACATACCCAATAGCAGCCTTCTTATCTGCATTTCTGAAAAGAATATGTGACAGCACATGAAAATGGCCTCGGATTTGACAAAATTGCAAAACAAAAGTATTAATCGCAAACTCTTTTCATGCCAGTAGCACATTAGGCCTGTAATGCCAGACTCACGTTGGTCCAGACAAACATGCACTTGGTGTGTGATGTAATCAACCTCAGTATCAAGTCAATGTGGCTGCCTTTAGTTCCCAAGATATTTCCTGATACCCATTTTAGGTTGGATCCACCTGGAAGCCAAGATTTTTATTTTTCATTTTCAATTTGCCGGGTGTGGATTCTAACCCTGGACCTTAGGATGAGCTAGCAGGATTCTAGCCACTGCGCTATGGCCCCATATGCCTCACAGTTCACAGCTGACCGGTAACAAATATTTTTTTAAACAGGACTGGAAATGGTCTACCAATGCCCTGTGGTACGCAAACAGTGTGATGCATGACCCCAAAATGCATATAATAATATAAAACATTTTGTGAAACTGTTTGGATATAATTACTTACTAAATGTTATACAAGGTCAGTGATGTGGAAGCCATGAGAAAATTAGACTAATGTCATAAAGAAATGAGAAAATTTTTTAATCTCTTGCCATGACAGACAGCCAGTAGGGCTAAAATTATAAACCCGTGGTAGACACTACTATAGAAGTGTGCATTGCTAAACCATAACAAATACCACATCATGGCCTAACAGACAAGATAACGTCCCTTTCTTAGCATCATCTTCTTTGTTCATCTATAGATGTAAGTGAGTTGTGCCAGTTTACAACATGACCGTATTATCTGCCCTTTTCCGTCAGCACATCCAACTTCTGCAGACAGTTTCGCGTAACAACGTAGTATCACTGCTGTGTGGTCCATTTTTATTTCCTAGTTCACAGGTAGTGCCCTGCATCAGGCCGGTCTAGAGCAGCCATGTTAAGTTGGTCAGCCCTCAAGATACGTCAGGAGTAGAGCATTCCCCGCCATCCAAGGAGCTTTTCACAAATGCAGAGCCAAGACATGGTGGTCTAGTACTGGGTTTACTCAAGGAATCTTGTCGTTCTACACCACAAGAATTTCCCGAACATTATCATGTACTAAATTCTGTTGTTTCACGAATGTAAGCTAAAGTAGCACAGTGGACAGAATGCTTGCCTAACAGTGGACAGAATGCTTACCTAACAGTGGACAGAATGCTTACCTAACAGTGGACAGAATGCTTACCTAACAGTGGACAGAATGCTTGCCAAACAGTGGACAGAATGCTTGACTAACAGTGGACAGAATGCTTACCTAACAGTGGACAGAATGCTTGCCTAACAGTGGACAGAATGCTTACCTAACAGTGGACAGAATGCTTGCCTAACAGTGGACAGAATGCTTACCTAACAGTGGACAGAATGCTTGACAAACAGTGGACAGAATGCTTGCCTAACAGTGGACAGAATGCTTGACTAACAGTGGACAGAATGCTTACCTAACAGTGGACAGAATGCTTACCTAACAGTGGACAGAATGCTTACCTAACAGTGGACTGAATGCTTACCTAACAGTGGACAGAATGCTTACCTAACAGTGGACAGAATGCTTCCCTAAAAGTGAAGAGAATGTTTGCCCAACAGTGGACAGAATGTTTGCCTAACAGTGGACAGAATGCTTACCTAACAGTGGACCAGGGTTCCCCAGGTAACAATGTCTACAACTGGTTCCAGAAAATCTTGGGGGAAGTAAAGGTAGCCGCCATGAAACTGTATGTGTCAAGCGACTGTAAATTTTTGTCTGGGATTCTGAATCAGCAACGAGTTGGATTTTCTTTACAACCGACCTCGGCTCCTAGGGTGACTCAACCCAAATTGGGTACCATGTAATGTATTGGAAAGTAAAGGTGGCTGGCATAATACTGACCAAAATCACTCAGCGAATGCCAACCAGTCTGTAAAAATACGAGTCTAACATAGTACGCCCAAAGCTTCAGTGGCATTTAAAAAGGTCATCTGCTTTTTACTTTATTAATAACGTAGCAAGCATACAAAGAGAGGTGCTAGAGATGGTAACAGAGAGCTTGATGAGAACCAATCCAGGGCATACGGTCGAAATGTGAATACAAGACAACAGAAAAATACCTGCATTCACTGACAGAATCAATGAGAGTAATATATGTGTTCATGTGTCGCATATCAATAACAATTACTAATCATGACCTGAAATTTACTCCCCCAAAAGATGAGGAGGGAGACAGCAGCTTCTGAGTGCTTACATACTTACTTTTTCTTTTCTTCTTCATTTCCTTTATTAAGGGTGGTCCCAAAGTGCTCATCAAGATAAATCTGGTTCAAGCACTGTTCTTCGCTCACTGAAACAAACCAAATGTTCAATATTCACACACATACACAAACAGTGTATTTTATTATCTTAACCCTGTCACTCTGCGAACCTGCAAAACTTTCAGTTGGGTCCAGTTGCCCAGAAATGTCACTTTTCTTACTTATATATAGCGACCTGTTGTTCCGCCTGTGCAAAGTTTTGGACGTCAGGATAGGACTATTTAAAGGGGTCCCCTTTAAGCCAAATAGCCTTTTTAAAGCCAAGTTGATGTCACATATTTCCTTAGCCCCAATGACAGAGGTCATTGAGTCACGACGTGAGTCACGTGATATTTAGGGTTTTTTAAGGTCCCAGAGAATGTATTCCATTTAATGTTTCACCCTGTTTATTGATTACTCCCTTATTTTATCTTCATATATTTCAACAACAACCACAATTTAACAATGCAATTACACATATTTGTAAGGAATTTAATAATGACTGTAAAAATTGTTAAAGAATTTTTAATTGGAGTTCCAACAGGGTTATGATCCTTTTTTCTTAGTGTTATAGAAACTAAAAGGGTTAATTTCAGGCCTATCTTCTGTAGCTTTAGACATCTAGCCTACTAGCAAGGCAGCAAGTTTGTGTCATTCTCTTACTCCGGCTACTAATCCTCACAGGGCCAGATGAGAACATCCTGGTGTAGCAGCTCCTGGGGTCAGTAGAGAATTTGTGGGTATTCAACACAATAAATGTCAGGGGCAATACAAACTCCACCACAGAAAGCACAACAGACAAGCGTTTGATACTAAGAAGGACCCCCCCCCCTTCCCTTCCCAACCTCCCCTTTTTATAAATATTTCTGCCCTAATTTTCTTCATTCTCTGTAAGGTCAGCCACCTGATCAATCATCCCAAGTGTCTTTCTCCTGCATCCAAAACTTATGTGCCAGTTTCAAATGCAAGCTTCTGACAAAGTAGTTGCATAAGTTACTCCATTTCTAGATACAAATCCAGAATAAGCTGCAAGTAACTACATGAGCCACAGATCAGAGACTAATTGGATCTTTCTGATGACACATGAATCATGTGAAAGTTGGGCGACTGAGATGTGGTTTTACTGATGAATGTTACAAATACCTTGGGACAGATAAAAACAGCAATGAAGATGTTTTGAAAGAAACTGACCCACACATACAACTGACTGCCTACAACAGGGGGAGGCTGTTTACATTCTTTGGTCATGTCACGAGGAGGAGAAAACTGGAGTACATCGTGACAGTAAAAATGCTGATGGGGAAAAGAGGCAGAGGGAGACAGAGAGAGAAGATGATGGACAGTGGGACAGCATGGCATGGAAGACCATCTGTGTCAGATGTACAGGAGACAGAAGGTTGTATAGACATGACTACCAACATTACACAGCCTGAACTATAAGAATGATAAATGAAGCAGTCAACATACAGTGGCCACTTCATAAAGAACTAACAGTGACAACTTGTAATCCTGATAAGAAAGGATACATAGGAAAGCAGACAGTCAATATTTTACAGTTTATAGGTAGAGAATGGAAAGATGTCAGCATGGAGTTGATGTACAGTGCAAGAAAACATGAGTTGTGCTGAGACATGATCAGCTATGCCATTTGACAAGGCACCTGATGATGATAATGAATGATGCATAATGACTGTACATGTCTCGTCACATACATGCAGCTGCTTCATTCTCCACTAGTGTGCGGTACCGCTCGTAGTTAGCGTGCCTTTCATCTTCGTCATTTGAGTCAGATCTACAAAAAGAAATAGGAGACAAATTTAAGACAGATCTATCGGATAAAAGAATCAAATGAGATAAATCTGAGTCAGGTTTACAAAAGGACATAAGAGAGATATTTCAGACAGATCTACAGATAGATATGAACAAGAAAGACACAAACAACAGAATACACAATTTATTGCCTGACATATTTAACTGTATCTCGTAAGGTGCATGCTACAATAAGAGTTGAATAAAATAAAGCAATTAAATTAACCCTTAACAATTGAAATACAAAATCAAACACAATATGGTAATGTAATATGCACCTGACGAGATACAGAGAAATATGTATGGCAATAATTGTTTGCGTCTTCTTTGTAAAAATTTACAACGGGGAAACATTGCTTTGATTTTTTTTTAATAAGACACATCTGAGACAGTACTAGACAAGAATATAACAGAAGCATACAAGTAGCTGTTATTCTACTAAAGTTAAAATTAACAGTAACGTAACCATGCTTTCATGTTCTTATTGAGGGATATGCATTAAGTAAGATCAAATCTGGCTCATGGATCACTGTCAGTTGGATTGTATTAACTGATCTTCACATGTGAGTTCTGGGAGCCCATGTAGACAAAACAAGAAAAAAACTCATCGCCTTCCCAACAAGCATGACACTGGAGGTGACTAATTGGAGGCTTCCTTCAAAGTCATAGTGCATCTGCCAGGACGCAAGGAACCAACAGTCTGCATACAAGTAAGCCAGATCTTAAAATAAATGTGCACCTGTGACGAAATGACCTCAGTGGTCTCAGAAGTTATATTGAGTTTAATAATTTCTTATGTTCAGAGAAGGACAAAGAATTAAAAGCAATAGACACTGAGCCTAAAATAGTTCTAAAACCATTACAAGGGATTTGAGAATTGTTTAAACTGAGTTTCCAATCTCTAGCCAGACAAAGCAACCTTGCTTTAGGTAATATTACCTTGGCTAGGAATTCCTTTCTCATGCCCATGTCATAATATTATCTCCTGCCCAGTCTGTAGAGGCGAGTAAAGGGGAAGATAACTTCCTATCACACCTGAGGTTGGCTCCCCTGAATCCGACCGTAGGGGCATAAAAATTACATAACACACACTGAGTGGGGCCATTTGATCAAACTGAAGCAGGGGAATTAGTGGTCTGATAGACATTTCTAGACAGGATGGCGTCCAGCCTCTGAAGTTTTCACACATGATAGTGAAATTCTCAAGAGAACAGATGTTTGGCAATTAGGAATGTTTAATCTTGGTCAAGGTCGTACTGTAGGCCGTTCACTGTGAGTGACAGGCCCATTGATAGCTAGGTTGATCTGCTAGGTACCTCAGAGGCGGGGCTTAGCTCATCTCCTTGAGGGTTGGGTAGAACCTAGTAGAGGGTGGAGTTTAACCTTGCAGACAGATAGAGGTATTAATAAGACAAGCCCTGGAATTCCCGTCATAATCGCTGCCACAGGCAACAAACAGGTCGACCTTAGAGGTAAATCTAATGGTTTGATTCTAGTTTGGCGACTGCTGGAAGTTTCCAGGTAAGCATGTACAATTATTTTCAATATTGTATACATAGGTTAGGGAGTTAGCTAAAATCTATTCTACCTTTTCCTAATTTGTCTACACATTCTGCTTGAAATAGTTCTTTGTGAGTATTCAGTATCTCAGTTAGGGAACTGCTAAACCATTTCTATTTCTTGTATGTTTGTGGCACATGTTTTTCAGTGTATGTTCTCATGTTTATAAAATAAGACTTGTATAATGAAATGTAATGAAATTATAAGGTTTCAACCATCAACCAAAACATGAGTTTGGACTGTGGGAAATGATGCCCACATATGCAGCTATGCTGTTACATTTTGTGTGCCCACCATGTGCTCACCTAAACAGGGGATTTATAACCCTAGGGGAAGAATCATGAGTGTATATTATTCACTGTCACTGAAAGATAATATTCAGGACAGCATGCTCGTATAAAATGTTTGGCGTGTTCAGCACATAACCTGCGCCACATGTTTATGTCAAATCAATGTCAGCAAGTTGGAAGTCTGAGTGATGACGGACAACAGAAAATATACTATCATGACAGAACCTTAGAGGGAAGGCAGGATATGTGAGACGTCGGTGTGAGACACAAAGACCTTCAGAATAGACTGGAGAGAATGTGGAATATGAGGAGTGATGAGATATAATGTATTATTGTATATTGTATTAATTGACACATGTATTCTTAGTGTAAGTCAATATACTACACGTATGTGTTTGTTTCCATTATTGCAGCTCCCATGTGGGTGAGGATCAGTCTTTTCTAAGAACAGAAATAGAGGGTCATCACGGTCACGAGACTACATTGTGCTAGAACTCGGCCAGCTGGGAAACAGGTGGGAACCAGGAGAACTGGGCGGAAAGATTGGAACAGCTAAGAAGGGACTCAACACGAGGACTCTCAGAGGTTCCACTTTCTAAAGTTATGTAACATGTATTTATGTAACTAAACACCACCATTATCATTTACTCTTATCTTAGGGGCTCAGTTATCAAGCTGAGGTATCCCATTACCACCATACCATCATTATTGACTAAAAATATAAAGAACTAAAATGATTATTAGGATAATAAATCAAGTATATGGTCTTATCCTGCATCAGTTTTTATAATTCTAAGTGTGTCTGTTCTTACATGTTTAATTAAACTGTTAAGATAGAATAGCATTTGGTGGGGGCTCATTCAATAATAATACAATTTCTTTACCAAGAGAAGGTCGACGGATTGGGTCAACTGCCCTGTCTAGTGAATCATTCAAGATAATAATATATATAGACATCTAAAACCCATTTCCTTCTCTTGTGGGTACCAAGTTCAGCTAAAGTTAATATAAATAACGAGCCAATATGGCTGTTTTCTTGGATATCCAGGACTTTGTCTGAGAGCAACATAGCCCGGATATTAGTTCAGTTAATCTGGTGGAGGGGATGTGTTGAGAGGAAAATCCCTACTCAACATATAAATCATTTATACCCAAATCCAGAGAACCCATGAATGGGACGTCACACGAAAAGTGTTGTAATCTCAAGGGAAGTGGGCCGTAACGTCACAGCACCAAAAAAAAACCAGAATTTTCCACTGGAGGAATAAATATTAATGATCTTTTTACGATACAGCTCGGCTCCCTGAGTAAACTAAGTTGAACAGCCATGCATTAAAAGAACACACACTTCTAGTCACTGGCCAGCACAAGTGAGGTGCTATCACACAAAATACATTTGTTTCCATAAACTCATAATGTTGGTTCTGAGACCCAGAGCTCCAATTTTGGCAGACAAACTATTCACAACCAAAACATTTTACAGGTTTACTGCCGCCTAACATGTTTGTTTTCAACGGCGACTAATTAGGTGTACGCTAACATCAGATGTGTTGGGCTGAGAAAGGAGTAGATATCACCAAGTTGAAAACCACCACACAACATGCCAACAACCACCGTAAAGGCAAATACAGAAGAAAAACTCCTAAAAAAGAAGTCTAGTAGCCAGTTTACCAGACTAGGCAGAACTGAGCCACACTGGTACAGGAGTTAAATCCAGCAGTTCTCCAGCAATTACCCCCAAGAGTTTCCATGAAAACTGGACTCATGAACTCAACGATACAGCAGTGCAACAAACGCACAACCTTCACAGCGAGAGGCAAACAGCTTGACCACAGAAAACCAAAGAGTACAAATAGTTTAGGGTCAACTGTTAAGTCTAAGCTCTTGTGAGAGATGAAAAATAGAATAGGCATAAATTCATTCAATGATATGTCACAGTTACTCACACTCTGTGTCTGTCAGGAACATATTCTGGTATGTGATCCAGGTTTGCTCTAACATCAAACCGGTCAATCATATTGTTGAAGTCTCCTTGCCATGGCATCCTGAGGAACATGTTTTGTTTTGTTTTTAAATGTATGTATGCAGAAACAAATGAAATCACAGACAATTTAAAATGAATGATTCCTCAACATTCTACAAAATAACCAAAATGTTATTTGGTGGCAGGTACTGTCTTATCTTTGTACCCAGTGTTCAAGACTGTGAGATCACTTTCAAGGATACATGTTCCCTACATCAAACAGTTCTTCTCCCAGACTACAATCAAGGCAGTGCCAATTACTACCTTTATTATACCACTTTTGCGGTGATTGGTGGTCACTTAAAACTGACAATTTAGGGCTGCATGGCTAGTGCTGTCGCCATGGACTGTGCAGGAGAGGATTTTATTTTTGCTCCAGACAAGATTTTGAATTCAGGTCTCTGGCATGACAGCCAGCGTTCTAACCATTCGGTCAGCCACTCTTCAAGACAGTAGGACAGTGAAAACAAGATGGGAGTAGTCAGGATTTTTTTTCTGGTGGTAGACAAAGGTATGCAGTACCAGCACCTTTTCTGTTGGGTATCATTTTTTCAGCGGTACTGTGAAAGACACACTGTGGCAAGTAATAAGACCTTTTAAAGACACTGCAATAAGTCCCAGCTAAATATTGTTTCTATAGGAACAACCTAAGTATACTGTATCAGCTTGAGAGGCAAATACTTGGAGAAAGACTCAATTTCACGGCACATGCCTTTGAGTGCTCCATGCTGCAGTGCAAACTGTTTCAATATATATTCCAAGAGACACAAGCAGGACCATCAGATGAAACACACCCAGGAAAACTATGACCACATTCTCCATTTTCAACACCACAAATCACTCACATGCTCTGAGGCCCCTCAGCTGCCATTGCTACAGCCTGGTCCAAGTGAATTTTGACTGGGCGGCCATACATGCGCAGAAACTGAGTTGGGTCTTGTTTCTGAAACACGTTGAAATTAATTTCATCAATGTGTTGTTTATTTACACAATTGAATGTAAACTGCTAAGCAAACAAATATGTTTAAACAATATAAATGTATATACAAATAGATTATCATCACCACAAAAAAGAAGAGAGAGAAAGGTAAGAGGAAAGAGAATATGAAGGAAAAAAAGAGAAAGAGGAAGCACATAAGACAGAGATCAACTCAGAGTGTGTGTGAGTGAGTGAGAGAGGAAGAAACAAGAAATGAACAGAAGAAAGAGCAAATATAAAAGGAGAAAGCTGAAGCATTAAGAGACATACACAGGAGAAAGAGCAATCAGAAAACATAAGGAAGAGAGAAATAATTCTGTAACATAAGGAAACTGAAAGAACAACAATGACTTTACTATTTTTTCATAAAACTCCCTCCTGCGGTCAGCTCTCCTTTTGTAATCCACCATGATCCCTCGGATCTTCTTCTCTTGTCTTCTTGCTTCATGCCACATGATTCTTGTTTGTACCTGCACAAACCTCAGTCAACTACAAGATGCCTGCAAAAGAAAACAAACATGTGTATGAGTGAAAAAGGCCAACCACTATGCACTAGATCAGGACTATTAAACTAAGCTTACTCAGGTGCCAACATTTTGACAAATGAGGGTCATCACAGGCCAGAGGTCTGAGTCAAAGCACGGAAAGATCATAAATACAGTATAACTTGCAATGATCTGTGGACCACTTTTTGAGCCTCCGCGGGCTGCCTGTTGTATAGCCCTTCCCTAGATCCTTATACAAGGATATGTTACCTTTTAGCAAAAGTCCCTATGCAGGTTCTATGGCCCCATGCTGGGGAAGACAAGAATAGACCCACTATTCCCCTAATTAGCATGTCATTAGAGCTTATTAACATTATGATTTTTCTATAGAAGTTACAGTGAATCTGCCTGAGAGGCGAGAAACCAACAGTTTGCATGAAAGTAAGCCAGATCTGCAAAACAGATGTGCATAAAAACCAAAGTTCTGAAATAAGACTTTTAAGTCCAGAAGTGGACAAAATAACTAGAACTTTCCCCTGGAGTTTACAGCCAGTGAATACAAAGAAGAAGAGAGAGGAAGCAGAACAAATCGTCAACTCAAAGAAAATGTAGACATTCAGTGTCACTTCCATATATCACTTATTGACTATCTATCTCTTTAGAAGCCAGCAATAGGCAGCCTACAGACCTGGGATTTCAATCATCTACACAAAATCAGTACTCTGCTTCTTACTGCAGTGAACTTCCACGTCCATTATAGTTTCATGGCATTTCCCACACACGTGCCTAGGGGCATCCAGTGTGGCATAATAACGGACAAATGGTCTGCTTAATTTTTTTCCCCACGTCATGGTTTATAAACTCTGCATCTCTAGCGACTATCAGTTCCAAGAATCCCTGACAGTTTTCTACTTCTTATACCTTCAAACATCAAAGTGAATATATTTTAAGAAATCACTAGTCAACTTGAGGTGGTTGACATCACAACACAGTTTTTCTTCAAAAGTTTTGGGTGTTAGCCAGAATAATTTTCTCTGTTCTGCATATATAAGACACTTTTGCAGTAAGTTTTTAGCTGTGATTATACCACTTCCAAAGTTACAATCATAAGTGTCTCCTATCTTTAGCTTATTGAACAAGTGGTGTTTCAGCCTATTGTTCTTCTTCTTTCTTCTTTGCGTTCACCAGCTGTACACTCTCGCGGAAAGTTTTGGTTGCTCGTCCATTACTGAACTGCAGCCCTGCTCCAGAACCTGAGTGTTGCGTGTGCATCGGTTTTACAGATCTCATTCTCTTGAATACAGACTGTTGGTTCCTTGCCTCTCCGGCAGATGCACTCCGACTTCAAAGGAAGCTCCCCAATTGGTCGACTCTTACGACATGCTTTTGGGGAGGCAGTGGGTCTATTCTTGTTTTACCCACAATGGGGCCCCGGATCCCACACAGGGGTCAGCCTATTGTGTCCTGTGAGGAGACTAAAGAGCAATAATTGTCCTTTTCGGTCAAGTTGGTAGCATGCATCATCCTTCTTGTGGCCTTGAAGTTCAGAATCCCATGGGTACTTCTTATAAATCTCTTGGCCTTATCATATGCTACATCTATATCAGGCTGAAGTCGTCTTCCCCCTTCCTCTGGCAGTTTGTCAGCCTCTTTATTTCCAGGTATGTTGCAATGGAATGGAATGTACTGCGACTATTTTTGATTTGTTACGATTCCCGAACCAAATACACACTGGATGACCTTTCATTCATTCTTGCTCACAGGGGTGTCAGGTTGTCTTGTCTCCGAAGCTATCAGAGGCAATGTTCTGTACTACACGAAGACACCACTTTTAATGACCCCAGAACATATAGAACTAGCCTTACCCCCCTTACCCCCTAAAGTCTCAGCCTAGGTCCCAGGAGAGTGTGCAGACCATGTCTCATGGTTTCAGAATTGTTAACATTTTCCAATGTGCCTGAAACTCTCCTTGTTGCTCATCAATGATGACAGCTAAACTGAATTCATGCCGCACCTGTACTCCATACAATATGCAATGTTGCCACCCACTTATAACAACAAGTAAAACACACTGCCTAGCTAGCCTCCCACACGATGTACTATACAGAAAGCTATTCGCAAACTAAAGACAATGTGACCGCCCTCTAACATAGTCTAGCCTCTGTCACAGGTGAGAAAGCATGAATGAAAGCCCAATTATGCTCTATCTGATAACAACAACAACAACATGTTCTATCTAGGCTGGACATTGTAACAAGTTGAAACTTTTGACTTAGTCCATGGAGTGCAAATCTAAGGTCTGCAAGTTCTGTATTGTTTACAGGGTGATTTGACTTGTGTTGTGGTTTACAGCTAGCTTGGCCGGCTCTCCTGTCAACTCAGGCCGTTAGCTGGAAAGCCGCCGATCGCTTAGTGGGAGTTCTCTCCCTTGGCTGCATTGCAAACACGGAGCAGAAAAGTCACGAATCAAATGACATACTTACCTATCATCATACGGTTGCGTAGTCGGTTAGGGATAGGGTTAGGGGTAGGGGTAGGGTTAGATGTGACAATTTTGACGTAGGAGTTCCATATACTGGCCGACAATCTGATGCTTGTGGGAGTGGCGCCACTGGAATTCTCCCAAATATGACGGCAATAGCGCGTGGCTGGTGCCCAAACGGTGGCGAATTGTCCGTTTGAGTAGCATCCAACAGTCCTTCGATTGTTTGGGTGTGTATGTGACAGTGCGCGATTATTCGGAACTCCTGCGTCAAAAGTGCCACATCTAACCCTAAACCTAACCACGCAAATTTATCGGTCAGTGAGTCAGACAGATCTGCAGGAGTCACATCCGTGGCAACTAATACCATGTTTATATATATAAGGATATATGTATTTTTTTTTTTTAAAAACAGATTTCCCCGAAGCGTCAAATAAACACCCAGATCTGGGGAAAACACCCAAGCATTGGCAGCCCTGTTGTCGACCTCACTGTCTTTTTTTTTATTCATGACTTTTCCGCTCCGTGTTTGCAATGCGGCCAAGGGAGAGAATTCCCACTAAGCGATCGGCGGCTTTCCAGCTAAGGGCCTGAGTTAACAGGAGAGCCGCTTGGCCTTTTGGCCAAACACAATTACAAAAGATTTCAGCAAATCCTTAAGCTATTAACAACATGCTTATTAATTAAGCAGCAGTCAGTCTTTAAAAACAATTACAAATAACCGACTTCTGATTGCTACGATCACGATTATAATTCAATTTTCACTTGTTATGACTGTCAAACTATGTGTACACAGTCGTACTTTTTTCAAAACTTTTGATTTTGATTTAATTTTAAATATTCAATATATATTTATTTATATTAAATACTGAGAACTGTGGTCAGAACTACAGATTTTCCCCATGCAGCCACTCCCTTATCAAATGTGAGCGTATTTAATCTTACCAAAAGCTAACTATCGTGATTTTCCATGTGTATACACATATTGCATAAGTAAATAACAGATATTACTCCAGTTTGCCTGCTCAAGACAGTAACAAACAACATGGCCGGGGGTGGCCCAGGGCACTCTGGGTAATGGAATGGATGGTCAGCGGTTTCAGCTTGCACAAAATAACTGCCAATCTCTGGAGAAATTCCATAGTTAATTGCCGTTTAAATGATCCAGTAGCAATATCAAAGTCATCAAAACTTACTTGTGGTGAGCTGTTTAACAGAATCAGGGGAAATAACGAGTTTTATTCTTCCTCCATTATTACTATTAGCATAACCCTGCACCAGAGTAGGTGCAACCGACATTGTGCCAGTTAATACCAAAGATGACAGAGCCAGAGCCAAAGTTTGGCTGAGTTCAGTAAAGATCATTGCACTCGTATATGTCAGTTTCGTAGAAACAAAGGCACTGAAATGCGCAGAGGTTCTGGGCAGACAACGAATGAAAAGAGAATTACTGGAAAACAAAAATTTAAAAGACAACTAAAATAGTGTGTGTGTTTATGGTTTATATGGCGGGTCACCATCACGGCACAAGATTAGTAACCCATAAGTGCTCCGTTCTACTTTTAACTCAAGTCTAATCCGGAAGAAGCTCAGTGCAGTGCTCGAACTCCGTAGCACCCGCAAGGATCCTGAAGTATTTTGGGTAGATTTTAAACGCAAAATTGTGTCCGAAAAGCGCCGTTAAGCTACTCTTTTCAATTTCCAAATGCCAAGGGATTTTTTTAACGTTCGCAACAATACACACGGGCGTCCGATCTTACTATCTAGAGACCAGAAGAAATAACCATAAGTCCACCTGAAAAAAATCCCAGCCTTCACCGGGCCTCCAGCACTCGAGGTGGACGCCATACCTCGAGACCACTCAGCACCCATGTGTGTGCGGCAGGGGTGGGGGCATATATATAGGTATATATCTTTGTGATTTCGCACGCGTGTGTGTATGCGCTTCTCTTCCCTGTGGCTTGTTTTTCATAAACCTTTTGGCCAGAAAGAACAACAGTGGAACGTAAACTATATGGACCACTGAATGAATTAACAACAACAGTGAAATTTATACAAGAGACAAAACTGCTGATATAGACAACTTATTTCAGTCGAAAGAAAGAAGAAGAAGATAAAGGAGATATCTGAGAATACGTCCACCCTTCGTTCAAATGCATCGACCAGCCATCGAATACGCCTTTGCGTGAGAAGAAAGTGCATTTTTTTTTTAAATCTACTTTCAAGCGTTTGTTCATTTGTTTTATGGTCCTATGATGAGTTATAAGTGTACTATCTTCACGGCACTCCGGAGACATCCATACTTACTTAGTCGCTCCTCTTCTACCTTGGGGTGTAGAGGTTTGCCAGAGAGATCGCCAGACGTCTCTATCCGCCGTTTTCTTTCTGGCTTTGTTCCATTCCAGTCCTCTGTCAGTTAGGGACTGTCGGATGTTGTCTTCCCAGGGCACCCTGGGTCGTCCCGGAGGTCTGGTTCCCTGGTTCTTAG